TTTTTTTTTTTTTTTTTTATTTTTTTTTGAGGAGAGAGGGAGATTTGTTGTTCAAAAACCACTTGAAATCGAACTCCTTATTGACGAAGGAATCTTGTCAATAAGACCGTTTCGCTGCCACGATAGAATAGCTAAGATCACGTGACAGCGATACGTTTGACATGTTTTGAATAAAAAGAAGTGGGGCAAGGAGCGACGAGAGGGAAACACACGCACGTCTTTGCTATACGTGATTCGATTGTGATGCGCGCGGGTGTTGCGCGTACTCTTTGAGCTCTCGCGGCCGCCGATAACGGGTAATTAAAATGTTTTCAATCGTTTCGTTCGTTTTTCGACGCCCTACAATATAGTCCCCGGATTGTTTACGGTCTTCGCCTGTGAGCGAAACGAATAATCTTTTTCAAGCGTCTTGACCCCTGGCGTGTTGCAAAACAGTCGTGTCGACAGAACTCGGCTGGGTCCAAACCGAATGACTTAAAGTCTCGTAGACACTTTTCTCGATCGGATTGCCAAATATTTCACGTGTTACTGAATTGAATAACACATCGAGACACATTGACACATTGTATGTAGGAGTCTAAACGAAAAATAAGGCACGTGGATTCGAACCCACGATCCTCGGATCCTCAGGTTCGCGGATCGCGGATTTACTTACGCGACCAATCCCGTACCCTACGTTTCGTGTTCTCGTTTGACTCCTTATTGTTGGGTATGGGAGGCGCGGATACTACATGTACGCATAGTGATATAATTCGTGAAAATTTGAAATAGAACGCGGAGAAGTCGTGCGATAATAGTCAGCCTTGTTGCCGCAATCGTTTCTCGAATATTTCGAATGTATGTGTATAATTATATTTTTTGAACGTGACTATCTCGACAACGATTATCTCAAGCGATGTACGAACTCTTACTTGGTTGAATCAGTCGCGAACTTCCTTGAGTATGTACACCAGTCAGTCGCATGAATATTCGCACCCTCTATGGCTATTCGAGAAATTTGTTCGAATCAAATGGTAGACTCTATGTTTTCGAGTGTACGTATGCTCTCCCTCGATTGTTTCCAAACAAAATGCTGTTTCGAAAAACAGACACTCTCGACCTTACGTGCAAATAAAATCGTTTAACCGCGACACGGTCACAGCGGAGCCCGATAACGGTCCAACGTTGCGAAACGTTTTGTTTCTTTCTTAATTAAGATACGTCAGATCCACCCCCAGATGGTTGCGCCTACACAAGGAGACATTAATAATTATCTCATTAGCGATTGCTGGACGCTTGCGTCAATCGACGATCGAGACGTGTTTTCACTGGTTTGAAAATAAAGGAGGCCGCGTCGCGAGCAAACAAACCAAATCGTGGAGGATAACGGGCAATTAACGAGGAGGGGCGGGGTGCTTGTCGCTTATTGCCAACAATTCGTTATCAGCCTCCTACAACCGGACTTTATGCACTTCCGATTGCGTCCGACGTGAATTGTTTGCCTCCCTCCTCCCTCTTTCTCATTTGGTATCAACGATCTCCTTGTATTTCTCGTTGTGCTCGACTCAGAGATGGGCATCGTTCATGGGTAACCAAACTTTTTAGCCCAAGGGTCGCACCAAGTTCCAAGGACCTAGCTACTTCGTCCATACCAACGTATCGTCGAAGCAACAGATCCTGATAAAGCGAGAAAACTCCTTGAACTACGACGATTAACGTACAAACGCGTTCGACGATCATCGACGTTACATCGTCATCGATTTAACATTTGCCAAGTTATTTGTTACGTACGATCGACGCGCGATCATTTGTAGCAATTGAACGAATATCTACGACTTAAGATACGATAAAAATAGAAGTGCATTCTGGGTAGTGTACGGATTGAAATACGAGGGAACGATAACTACGATATAAACACGTTTTGTTGGATCTAATGTGCCGGAGCGCGAGAAAACGGGGATACTTTTTCCTTAATTAAAAGATAGCGCGTATCGAAGGAGAAAAGTGTCTCAAGAATGAAACGCATTGCTTGCGCGAGCATGTATGCACAGAGATATCGCGACAAGTATGTCCTTTCTGAGAAAACCGATACAGAAGAGCGGCTAGTAACGTTAAAAATAGAAGGAGGAATATAATTTTAGAAGCTCCTATTTCATCGGAACGAAGAAACAAAGTTTTACGTTTCTTCTTTCTTATTATACGTGCAGAAATAATCTTAAAATCCGAGGTGACTAGATGGTGACCGGTTTGCTTGTAGGTTAAAGAGATCGAAATGTCTGTTATTCAGGTTGTGGCAGTGCACTTTGAACCCACCACCTTCGACGCTTACTACAATGGATGTTGCAACGGAACCTTCTGGCCACTGTTCCATTCAATGCCGGATAGAGCGACCTTCATCGCCGAGCACTGGCGCGCGTATTCCGCTGTCAACCAGGAATTCGCGGCGAAAACGGTAGATCCAACCGCGCGATATTAATCATTTGCCCTCCAAGAATCGTTTTTAGTACCGGTAACCGACTAACTATTAGGTCGTCCCGTAAGTTCGTGCCGAAGACTGTGTCGAAGTTTAATAAAAAACCACAGAAATTTTCTAGCGACGGTATAATGACTATCTGAGAGAGGTGAGAAACTATTGCGAAATGAGACAGATTATCTTTTCTTGCGACACTGAAGAGTATGTTTCATATATTAATTTGAGAAATAGAAGTATAAATGGCACGAACTTTTAGGACGACCTAATAATTTAGCTTACCGAAACAGTATCTTGCTTGAGAATTAAAAGTACACCTATCCTTCGACATAGACAGTCTCGCTATACGTATCATCGCGGAGTGCAAAGAATTAGAATTCCGCGGTAAGGTAAGTTCGACGATGTAGAACTTCCGTTTTGCGTAGGTCGGTGCACTGGAACAGATCCACAAGGAGCAAGAAAATCAAACGAATGGTACACCTTTGGTCTGGGTGCACGACTACCACTTGATGTTAGCCGCGAACTGGATTCGGCAAGCTGCTGACGAGAAAAATCTCAAGCTGAAATTGGGTTTCTTCCTCCACATCCCTTTCCCTCCATGGGACATATTCAGACTGTTCCCATGGGCCGATGAAATTCTTCAAGGGATGCTTGGTAAGTGGTCCACCGTTTATGATTGGACCTTTAGAGAATAGACCGAGCTGATTATTATAGAATAAATGTATCGACGACACGTGTGAAAAATACAAAATTTACACAAAAGTGACTTTTTTTCTAGTATTCGAGGGTTTTCTAAAACTCTCCAGGGTTCTGTAAAAAATATATAATTAGTCGATCCCTCTCAATTTCTAAGGAGCTCTAAATCTCTGTTCGTAATATGCGGTCATCTCATTAATTCGTGCCACAGACCGTGTCAATATTAAATAGAAAAAGATGAGAAAATATTGTAAAACAAGAGAGATTATCCTTTTTTTTTTTTTATAACACTTAAGAGTATGTTTTACATATTAATTCGTGTAGCAGAGGCGTACGTGGCATGAATTCTTGAACCCTAAACCTAACCCAGACCTGATACAAGATGTCATATCAAACAGTTCTTGTCCTAAACGTAAATACATTTGCCTACTAGGTTGCGACATGGTGGGTTTTCACATTCAGGATTACTGTCTGAACTTTGTCGACTGCTGTCAGAGATGCCTTGGGTGCAGAGTGGATCGCAAGAACCTGTTGGTGGAGCATGGTGGAAGAACCGTCCGAGTGAGACCACTTCCCATTGGCATTCCTTTCGACAGATTTGTCTCGCTGGCTGAGACCGCCAACAAGGTGATGCTGACTAACCAGAAGATAGTGCTGGGTGTCGATCGACTGGATTACACGAAAGGTCTGGTTCACAGGCTGAAAGCTTTCGAGAGGCTCCTGGAGAAGCATCCTGAACACCGTGAACAGGTGATCACTCTGGTTCTTAACCCTTTATATGGCAGAACTCTCTGGGTATTTTTGTGTAGATGTACGTAGAAACTTAAATATACAAAATTCTCGCCCCTACCTCAGTGGTAACAGTGAGTAGCAGTGACCCATAAAGGGTTAACATGAAGATGAACTTCATGTTGGGAACAAAATGTGGGATTAAAAGTGTCCCACACTTTTGATGGACCGTAACGCATGGTGGGACACTTTTAATCCCACCTCGAAATTTTGCAATAGCTGCATGTGTATAGGTGTGATACGTTTATTAATAAAAATATAACAATTTTGTTTGACTTGAAACGCAATAAAATTCCTGTGCAACGTGGGTCTATTTTTTGACCTGAATTCCTGTGTCGCAAAGAGTTAATAAAAGATCAGACGTTCAATTGAAAACGATTCTTTGCAGGTCACCATGCTCCAAATCGCTGTACCGTCGCGAACTGACGTGCGCGAGTACCAGGATCTGAAGTTGGAAATGGATCAGCTGATAGGGCGCATAAACGGTCGGTTCACGACCCCTAACTGGTCCCCCATTCGCTACATTTATGGTTGCGTGAGCCAGGACGAGCTGGCAGCGTTCTACAGGGACGCCGCGGTTGCTCTCGTTACTCCTCTGAGGGATGGAATGAACTTGGTCGCCAAGGAGTTCGTCGCTTGTCAAATCAACCAACCGCCCGGCGTGTTGATCGTTTCTCCGTTTGCTGGGGCTGGGGAGATGATGCACGAGGCCCTGATCTGCAATCCGTACGAAATAGACGAGGCAGCAGAAGTTATACACAGGTACTTCGGAATCCTGACACTACAGGGTGTTGCAGAACTATAAGTACAAGCTTCACTGGCCGGAAAAGTTCATAAAAGGAAGGTTTCTTGTTTGCGCGGTGCCAAATCAGTAGTGAACAACGCGAACGCTTTAATTTATTTTTGATAGAAACGTAACGATACGATTAAATACTACAGACACTTTAAATGAGTAATCGATTATTTTTCAAACACATATACTTTTGTTGACCTGCACACAGCCTCCTCTTTATAAAGAAACGATATCGCATATAAATATTGAGTTCGATCCAGTTAAAGTTACTTAAATCGATACCTAATTCTGAAACGCCCTAAATGCGTCATGGTTCCACTCAAAGTGTGTGAGAAGTTTGTCGGGTGTAGCTAGGAAGCAAAGTGAAACGCTCAATGTTACGCGTGTATATTTTAGGGCGCTTACTATGCCAGAAGATGAACGCACGTTAAGGATGAATCACTTGCGACGCCGCGAGAGACTGTACGATGTTAATTACTGGATGAAGTCCTTCCTGCAAGTGATGGGATCTCTGGAGGAACACGACTCCGTTGGCGCTACGACGATGCAGCCCGTGACCATGGACGACTTTGACGACTACTTGAGCAAGTAGGTATTGCCGGAAGTACCTGATGTGCATGACTGGGCCCGACCAGAGCATGCGCTTCAACGGGAACCGATAATGTACGACTAAATTACTTTTTACTCTCGATCTGTTAATAATTTAACGCTACACACGAAACCTTCTCTGACGATACAAATTAATCGCATTTTAATGCATACTTTATATGGGCAAACTATTAATTTATGCTTAGAAATAACAGAAACTCGACGTATTAACAGTCCGTAACTCTGTGCGACTTTGAAATTATATGTATATATTCTACAATCGGAGAAAGTATTACGCTAAGCATGAGTTTGGGTACGTCGCAGCGTTGGGATTATCAGTGACTGTCTGCTGCGCCAAGTGCCAAAGTCGATTCTAAACAATAAATTTCGCTCGAAAAATGTCGCGAAATAACCGGTACGCACGTATTTTATCTCCTGAACATCCATCCCGATCGCGACAAAATTCTTCCACCGTATCCAATGTAACGAGAATGAAGATTCCTTGGGAGATTCAATTTTAACGCGAGAACGAAACGATGCGTGCCTAAGCTCACGGATGCGTCGCCGTTCGTCGCACAACAATTGTGGAAAACAATTATTCTCTGGTCAGACAATGCGATTATTTATGCTTGTGGAAGACGGCGGGCCCGCGCGTGCGAATGCGACCCGACTCATGTTGAAAGCCGGGTAACGTTCCAGTGATACCACATGTCCCCTAGGTATATTGGCGATAACCATAAGTTGGCCCTGTTGCTGGATTACGACGGTACCCTGGCGCCCATCGCGACGCACCCTGACCTCGCTATTTTACCTTTGGAGACGAAGAACGTTTTGCAGAGGCTGTCCAACATGTCTGACGTGTACATAGCAATCATATCGGGTAGAAACGTGAACAACGTTAAGTCGATGGTCGGCATAGAAGGTATTACGTACGCTGGCAACCATGGATTAGAGATTCTGCATCCAGACGGCAGTAAATTTGTCCATCCCATGCCGGCTGAACTGGAAGGAAAGGTGGCGAACCTGATGCAAACCTTGCAAGAGCAAGTGAGTATCGCTTTGGTACCATAGTCTCGCATGGAACTCTTCAGGCTTTCGCAACCTACGTTCTTGCGCTTAAATAGACTGTTAACGGCTTCTAGGTATTTCAATTTTGAGACATGATATTTATTTGCCACAATTGACTTTGCTAGATATTAAAAGGTGAACTAGTACTATAGTAAATAGTAAAAGTTCATCAGCACTCTGAATACTTTTTTATCTTGGTCACTATTAATACCTACTTGAGGTGCTGAATCGTATTATTCTCCAACCACAAACCCCAAGCTGTAGAAGATTTAAAAAAGTTCAACTATTGGGTTGTCCAGAAAGTTCGTGGCAGTTTTTAAGAAACATTCAAAGACACGTTTGAATTTTTATATGTATTTATTGAATTATACATGTATCATTTTGTTCCACAATTTTTCCACCTTTTAAGGGGATGTCCACGTGTCATTTGTTTTCAACCATTCCGATATATTCAGACCTGTACCGCTTACTAAAAATCGGCATGGACTTTCCAGACAACCCAATACAACCTGTCTGTGGGGTGTACGTGAATTTAACGATGACTTTTTGTTTTAGCTTTGTAGGGATGGAGCTTGGGTAGAAAACAAAGGCGCACTGCTGACGTTCCATTATCGCGAGACCCCGATGGAACGTCGGCCACAAATGGTTGAACAGGCGAAGAAGATCATCGAGGACTCGGGTTTCAAAGCCTGTTCAGCGCACTGTGCCATCGAGGCGAAGCCCCCAGTGGAGTGGAACAAGGGACGCGCTTCCATCTACATCTTGCGCACAGCTTTCGGTTTGGATTGGAGTGAACGTATCAGAATTATTTATGCTGGCGACGACGTCACGGACGAAGATGCTATGAGGGTATCTAATGTGTCTCGCTTCTTTCTCGATGGAAAACTAAGTTCATTATTTAACTTTTAAAACAGCATTGTACCAAGAACATTGTAAGATGTATACAGTCAGTTTAGTACGATACTGTTGCATCTTCAATGGTTACTACCTACTTCAGGTACCGAATCATATTATTCGCTATTTTAAATTGGTCTTCTGATAAGTTTAAACTGGGAGACTGGAATTCTAAATGGCGTCTGGTTGGTAGTCAGTGGTTTTTTTTTTTTTTTTTAAAGAAAATATCCTTCTGTCCTGTCAGTTTAGTTTCATCGATTAATAACTTACATCGCTGATTCTGCTCTGTATTACATACTTGTACATACGATTACTTATCCCCCACAGGCGCTGAAAGGTATGGCAGCTACATTCCGCGTCGCGTCATCGCATATAATTCGCACCTCCGCAGAGCGACGTCTGCCAAGCACGGATTCCGTGCTGACGATGTTGAAATGGGTGGAGAGGCATTTGAGCAAACGCAAGCCGCGCAACAGCGTCGACATCCAATCGAGATTCCGCCGTAACAGTGCCGGTATTACCATGGAAATGTCCTTCACGCCGACAAATGCGATCCTAGAGTCTTAGGTGACGCCGTGATATATTCGTTACCGTATCGACTGTGCCCACGGAAGCAAACGTATGCGTGTCACAGGCATATAAAGTACTCGTAGAGTAAGACCAAGTTAACGAGACGGAAGAAATAGGAAGAAAAGAAGAAGGGAGTTTCTCTTGCAGGTGGGCAGAAAAACGTCGCGTAAAATGTACGTCTAAATGCAGATACGATGAAAATCATTCACTGAAAAGTCGAGTGTCGCGCGTTCTTCTTTTTTGAGAGATCGAATCGAACGAGTCGTATACCTACTTCCGGAAACCTCTCATCTCCGAATATATAACACGGATCACGCGAATATTAGCATAAGCCAAAGGAAGGAACTGATCTTGTCGATCCAGAACCAAACCATTTTTATCAACTACTCAACGTTTCATCGATGTATCTCCGGTAATCTGTCGAATGGCTTTAAAAAAAAAAAAAAAAAAAAAAAAAAATACAAAAAAAACCAAGTATTACGTGAATGGTATCACAGAATCTCTATTTTTCGTGCATCAAACGCGAACATATGTTCTCTTCTCCCTTTTTTTCGTGGCGTTCGCTGTATAATTGTCGCATCGAACAACGTTTCCGTTGGACGCCTTAGTACTTAGCTACAGTTTTAAGTTACCATTGCTCAAAACGCTACAAGATGCTCGAATGCATTGCGTAAACCTTGTCTGAAACTGTCTACTGTGAATCTTTATATTTCTTACTAATTATCGAGACACGAAACGGATTAGTAATGACTCATTATTATTATTCGCCGCTAACGAGAGAAGAGTTCCACGTCACCGCCAACGGGTAAGAAAGACAATTGTATTCAAGATTACATACCAATTGACTTGTTCAAATTTCTTGTTTCTAATCAAACTTTCCTTTTTGCCACACTTCGATTCAAATCGCTAACCATTGCGTCTACTTTGTTTCATAAATTTTACCAGAAGCTTTATCTTTTATTCTTTGTTGCGAGTACGTATACTTTGTTACAATACTCGTACAATTTGCATGTTGTATTTATATTACTCAACGATGTAACGAAGGCGGATCGAGAAATAGTGCAGGTGATAACATTATAACATACTGATATGTATATTTTTTGTTGTTGTTAAGAAGTAAACTGTTAAGTTCGATGATTAGTCGATTTTTTTTAGTTTCTTTTTTTCTTTTTTTTTTTGTTCAATTATCCAATACGAGGCGCGAGAGTCGCATTCACTGTTTCAGTTACTATATCATTCTGATATAGAGATTCTGGAAACGTACGGATCGTACGCGTATAATCGAACTCTTCCGGTGTAGAAGATGTTTGTATGCGAAATATTGTTGATCGGTATGCCGCAGTGAACGCCCGTGGGCATTTAATATACATTGTCAATAAACACAATTCTCGACACTGAAAAAGTTGAACGCGGACACTTCGAACGTGTACTATTTACACAAACATACCCACACACACACACACACATCTGTGCGCGTGCATACACACGCAATTAATCCTTTGCGAACGACCATTTCTTATTACGAACGTTGGAGATATTCAAGAAAATTAAAATTACTTTATGTAAAACTTACGATAAAAATTACTTTAATACCGTAGCGAAAGGTTACATCATCCAATGTATATTTTATTTTAATTTAATGAATCGTTACATACGTATCAAGGAAAAACAAACAATCTTCTTTCTGTGGACGTATTCGTAAAGAATTTTCTGATGAACTCCCGAAACAGTAAAAGTATGGTTGTACGGTATAGACATCGTCGACAAAGGATTAACACTTTAACTACCCGCCTATTTAGAAACACTCGACAACTCGGAAGAGGATTTTCTGCAATTAATATATACTCGTTTAGGTTGACATTAATTTCTACGTACTGTTACTAGATATATCAAAGTACTAGTTTCCTCAAATTGTAAGTATTGGTTCCCGTAGGCAGACACTGGAATCAATATAATCGCGAATAGGCTCTCGGTAGATAAAGTGTCGTGTCATCAGCGCACATACATTATACAAATACATACACGCAGATAAACTAATTGAAACACGGACAAATTTTACACATTTTCTAAATAGCGTAAGTCGCATAAGGATTCTTTATCCCACGTCTCTGCCTCGTTTTTACCGAGAAAGGGAGAAGGGTCGGAGTAAAGACAAAACGGAAAATCGATCATTTGCAGCCGTTAATAGCGGTAATGTTGAACACATTTTTCATCGTTCCTTTTTATAATGGCATCGAACGATGTAGCGAGAAAGGAGAAACCTTTTAGTACCGATCGGTTCAATGCGCACCAATATGAGATTAACGAGTCTGAAAGGACACTTCTTCGGCAACGATCGCAACTATATGCCATTTCAGTCGCATATAAAGAATAGTAAAAGGAATTTCTGTGCGCAAAAGCGTCTAAAAAGGAAATAGAGTTTATAAAGACTTTTCTCACGCGTACCAAGAACCAGCGGTGAATTTTTCTACAGGTTACTCGCTCGTGTCCTATCCAAGAACTGATGTATATACGTAATAATCTATGTTAATCTTCACGCCACTGGATGAACTTTTCATGTACTAGCTATTCAACTCTGTTACGTGTCATGAGTTTGAGCGATTGAAAGCTTTGCGTATGTCTTCGATCATCGAGAAACATTAAGACAAATATTATTGCAAAAGACAGATAAATTGATAAATTCTTGTCGAGCTTTTCTTCATTGTTTTTAGGTTTCTTTCGAGTTCGTTACATTGCAACGATGAATCGCATACTCGTATGTAGTGTAATATAGAGTGACTCGCAGTTTGCTGACGTATTTTCAAAATTCAACGATGTAACGATACTTTTTTTTTTTTCATTCAGAATTCGGTTATTTATCGAACTGCGATATAAAAAGTTCGGCATACCTTCGTTATAAATGATGTTGGTGATAAAGCAATTTATACATCCCGTGTCACCCTCGAAACGATGCAACTTTTGTATAAAGAAATTTTATGTACAATAATTTGTTTAAAGCAGAGCAATCATTACGAATAATAATTCCGAAATTTCTCTGAAAATTCTTAACGAGTTTTACATATTCTCTTTTAGAGATCGATAAATACCCTCCCCCTAATTAAAATCTCTTGCTTGTTTGTCGCTTTTCAAACACATCTACGAGTCACTTTGTGATACAGTCGACCATTCATAAAATTCAAAACATGTATACGTGATCCAGTTTATATTTTTAAGAACGAAAGTTTATTGTGGTGCATATATGCGTGTATTTTTATATGTAGAACCTTAAAATTTAACACGACGAAGATACGACGAAAACCTGAAAAAATAGCCGCACGAAGTGTTGTAGAATTATATTAGCAACCTGTTTCTGTCCTGGACATACGTTTCTACGGCTGTACTTAAAATTAGAGCGATGCGCATTCCTATCGTCACCACTATGAAAAAAGAACAAGTAGAAGGGACTGAAGACATTTATTAATATTTTTTTTCTTTTCTTTGTGTTTCTTATGCTACCGTTAATTAAACTTCGTTCTTCTATCCGCAGCGCGAATTCACGTAAATTCCTATCGATTTTCCGTGCGATTCTGACTTCCTCGCTTTGTTATTATTATTATCCTGATACTATCTTCCTTCTTTCGTTTCTTTCTCTTTACTTTAACGTGTATCGTCCACCTCCGTAGACGTGGTTCGATTAGAGTGTAAGTACATTTGCAAACGAAATAAACGAAACAAAATACATACATATAGAAAACAAAGTGATGATCTATAAGTTCTAGTGTAGTAGTATTTTTTGGTGGTTTGATCCTTGAAAGAGAGCTCCGCCCCTAAAGAAATCCAATTACGTATTTTTCACCTTGGTATTTATTAGTCAATTATTATCGCTAGTCAATAAATAACGGAAATCAGTTTATACGAGACGGATGAGAAACTACTATATAGAGCAAAAAACGAAGAGTCGACGGGGAAAGGCGACGAAAAGAAAACATTTAGAATCACACCGCACGGCGATCGTGGAGAGAAACACAATTGTATTAATAAGAAACGATTATCCGATGTCATATCTCTTTTTGAAAGTATGTAAAACGTATGTGTATATATATACAATATATATATGTATAAAGACATGTAAATGTTTATGTATGTACACATAGAGTGTCTTATAACGTGCCTGTAAGAAAATTCCATGAAATGAAAACGAAAAAAAAAATGTAATAATAATTGAACTACCTACGTTTTGTATGAGTACTTAGTTTTTACCACGATATACATTATATAAACGAATGGTTACATATGTGTATACACACACACACGCGCGCGCGCGCACTCGTCAGAGACAGAAGCACAGGAGTACATACAGACACAGAACGCGCAAGATTTTTCAATCAAGTAAAAAATATGTAGAGCCTGTTGCCGTGGTTGTAAACAAGAATTAAAAAAAGAAAAAAAAAATGGAAACAAAATTGCAGAAATAAACATTGTTTATAAACTGCGCGGAAACTATTTTCTTCTTTCCATTTGATTTTCATCGTTGCTATTCCCCCAACTACTTCTGCCCAACCATACCTGGCCTCTGGCTACGTTGGAATCGTAAAAATAGTAAACGAGAACAAAAAAATGGTTAACACGATACTTATTTTCAGCGAATAATTACAATCGATGCTTTGCATATGTATAAAAATTAAACGAAGTTTTCATAGTAAATATAAATATTAGACGCTTTGAAGTTACTATTGTTGTAAAAATATATTTACCTCGAGAAAGGAAAATAAAAGGACGAAGGATTATGGAGTTTAAAATTCCCACTAATTCTAAATTCATTCTTGTCACGATTTTTATAGTTCTTAGTCATCAAGGATTTCAGTGAGAATTTTCGCTTCGTTCGATTTTTCGCTACATTCTATAAATAAATTATTAACTTTCCTGTTATCCTATTATTCAACCGGAGCTTCCCTGATTCAACCGCTAGATGGCGCCATCGGCGAAATTTAAATTTTGCATCTATTAATCGCCGAAAAACATTTATAACCGTTTAATTTCAATCGAAATCGTATCAACACTGGTTCTTTAATGTTGCTAATGATCTCTACCATCTTCCACGAGTACCAAGACCAATTATTTTTACGCAAAAAGTTAATAAAAGTTAATTTTTTTGAATGTCGCAAGGATCTATACTATCCTTCACGAGTCGCGAAAGTTAATAATTCATTCGTTAGATGTAACAAACAATCGAACGAAGCGAAAATTCTCACTGAAATCCTTGACGATTGCTTAAGAACTATAAAAATGGTGACAAGAATGAATTTAAAATTAATGGGAATTCTAAGCTCCATAATCCTTCATCCTTTCACTTTTCCTTTCTTTCATATTATCCCTAAAAAATTCGAGGTCAATATATGTTTACAACAAATCCTCGATGATCGTTTAATGAAAATCGAGGTCCTAACAGAAATTTTTTTTGAATGTTGCAACGATCTATACTGTCCTTCACGAGTCGCGAAAGTTAATAATTCATTTATGGAATGTAACAAACAATCGATCGAAGCGAAAGTTCCCTCGTTAGTTAAATACCTAGATACGTAGATACATAGTCTTATAAAAATACGTACTCTTATAAAAATAAATAATAT